CTCGGGAGTGATCCCCGGGGGCGGGGGTGAGCTCGGGAGTGATCCCCGGGGGCGGGGGTGAGCTCGGGAGTGATCCCAGGGAAAGCCTCTTACTCCTTGATGAAGAAATGAATCATATCCACCAGCAGCCAGCCCGCTTTGAAAGGGTGCAACCACCTTTTTCCCAGCTCGTGATACAATATGTTCAAGCCGTCCACTACGACTGGCCTCCGTCTATCTGTGAGAGCCGTTTCCGGTGTCATGCTTTTCCTAGATCAACCGAAAAAATACATTCTGCTTGGTCTAATTCTCGTAGCCCACTGCCCAAGAGAACGTGCTTCTGTGAGAAGACCGGGCTAGTTAGCCCAGGTTGCCCATCCAGCGCCAGTGAATAGCAAACCCTATAGGCTGACCTTCCACCTCGCACCAACCCAAACGCAAACGCACACACGTGTGCGGCGACGAACGACAGGCGGCTAGAGGAGAGGCGCAACGGGCCGGGCAAAATCGCTCCGCATTGCCGCCGTGATGGCATTGGCGGGCCAAAAAATATATCGGCCATGTCTGTGGTGTATAACTTCACCAACTTGCTGTCGACGGCGTACAAGGGAGGCGCGGTGGAGTTTGGGCATGACGGGAACAGCGTATTATCACCAGTTGGGAACCGCGTGTCTGTGAAGGATTTGGTGTCTCATTCAAATATGACGATGGCGTTGGAGATGATAGAGGATATCGACTTTATTGTACCTCATGGAGAGTTTCTATTTGTGGTGGATCGAGGTGGTCGTTTATCATTTGTGAATGCCAAGACTGCACTCAATTTGGTGTCTGTATATATCGGCGGCCGGGCCACGGCTTGCAGCTTGACGGAGGACGGTTCCGTCATTGCAGTCGGTTCCCTCTCAGGCGGCATTACCGTATGGCAGACGCCTTGTCTGAAGACGCTGTGGCAGTTCTCTCGGATCAACGAAGTCAAACCACATGCCGGACGCTGTAAGACGATTCGTTTTTCGCCTGACGGTCAGTTCCTCCTCACGGCTAGTCTGGACCGGACAGTGAAGATCAGTTCCGTCTACCCGGACCGCCAGTACATCGCCACGGCCTTCGTCGACCTCAGTGACGAGGCCATTGCGGCCGACTGGTCATCCGACATGAGACACGTCGTGGTCGCCTGTAGACAGGGCCACGTAATCGTCTACGACTGGAACCCAGGCGAACCACCAACGGACCAAAGGAACAAAATGCGGACTATGCAACTCGCCCCCAAGACTGGGGTCCCAAGCAGTAGTCGGGACGGCGTCAAGTCTGAAGGCGTCAAGTCTGAAGGCGTCAAGTCTGAAGGCGTCATGTCTGAAGCGTCAAGTCTCAAGGCGTCAAGTCTCAAGGCGGCAAGTTGGAAGAGAAGATGGCGGTTGAGGGCAAGGAGGAAGACGATTTTTTCGTGGACTTGGGTCCGAGTCAGCGTCAAAAGCGTACCTTGGAACAGTCTAGTGCTGCGGAACCGGTAGAGGGTGCATTGCTAATGACGTCTGGATGGTGGTCTGCGCGACGGCGTGTACGGATTGAGCCGGTGAAGGGGCGACCAAGTCGGTTTACATGTGGTGACTTTTGTCGCTCGAAGCAGTTGTTGGTAATGGGTAATGAATGTGGTCAATTGGTAACGGTACAGGTGGCGTTCGGGGAGTCAGAGGATGCGGCGATGGAAGTAGCGAGGTGTGTGGTTGATGAGCGTTCATTTGTGAGCTGTGTGCGCTTTAATTCGGATGGTGAGTGGATTGCAACAGGGTTACCAACTACTAGCATATTATGTGTTTGGGAGTGGCGTAGCGAGACGTTGGTGTTGAAGGAGGCTGCGGATGCTAGCGGAGTGACGTCTGTTGCTTTACAGGCGGCGAATGTCGGTACTGCTCATTCTGCGCCGTTATTGTTGGGCGCAAGTCAGACATTGATGGCGGCAGGTGGTCATGATGGACGTGTGACGATCTGGGACACAGTGTCAGGGTTCGAGTTGAAGACGTTTTGGGAACATACCGCTCCAGTGACGGGTTTGCAATTTACTAATCAGCAACACACACTCGTGTCTTGCGGTGCGGATGGCATAATTAAGTGTTATGAACTGTTGCGAATGAAGTGCTTCAAAACAATTTCGGCTCCCGCAGGCGAAAGTGGCTTGCCGATACCGCTGGGACATTTGTCGGTAGACCTCAGTGGTGAGCTAATTGCGGCTACCTCGAGTGCATCTGACTGTCAAGTGTTCCTCTTCTCTCTCCAGACCGGGAAGTTGGTCGATCAATTCCAGGCTCACGCCGAGCCCGCGAGTGCCATCCAATTCTCGCAAGACGTCAAAAGACCCGGTCTGGTCGCAACCTGCTCACTAGAAGGCACCGTCTGCGTCTGGGATTGCTTTGGTCGAGAGGGAAAGGGTGGCGCGGCGACCACTCTGGCGAGCACTGGCGCGGCGGCGGTGGCTCTAAGTTGGCACCCGCTGAATGCCCACCTACTGGCCGTCTCATACACTGGCGGTTTGGTCGTAATTTGGGATGTGGAGGCCGAGGAGCAGCTTAAGACCATTGAGGGCTTGCGAGATATCGAGGTAGGCCGAGAATATGGCCAGGTCGTTTCTAGCGCAAATGACCGCAAGTGGATCGAAGACAAGGGCAACGCGTTAAGCAAGGACGCTGATCCAAACCTGTGTTTCACGCGCATCGCATTTTCAGGCAACGGAGAGTTCATTACTGCCATCGCCAGGCGATCCCACAAGGTCTGTGTCTACGACGTAGAACGTGCAACACTCGCGACCGCCTGGAAAGTAACACACAACCGCTCACTCGAAGGTCTCCTTCGCAAACTGAATCCGAAGAATATGGTCGAAGAAGGTGTACACGAAGCGGAACTTGAACTTTCCGGCGACGAAGACGACGAGTTCCTGCGCATGGACAAGCAGAAAGGCGGCGACCTTCCGGGCACCGTCTTCGGACCCCTTGCGCGTCTGGCCAATAGACGACGGCTATATGTCAACGACCTCGCCGTCAGCACTGACTCCAAAACCCTTCTTGTGGGCACGTCACAAGGTACCTTCTGTTACGAGCTGAATGTCTGTCTACAGCAGAGTTATCATGCACGTAAACGTCACGCAGTGTACTCCGCTCTTACCACCTTCGCGCCCACACACATGGACCTCAAAACCAATCAAAAATCCTACATCAAAGCCTTTCAAAAAGGCAACCTTCCTAAAGCACTACTCGCCGCCCTTGCCATCAACTCACCCCTGATGATCTCCGAGGCCTACCGCCGCATCAGCCCTGATGAAATAAAGGAACTAGCACCCAAGCTGGATATACAAGCGCACGTGCCTGCCCTTCTCAACTTCATCAGAGCCTGTCTAGACGGCCGAACCACTGCCTCGCAACAGGCTACTTTGCAACAGGTTACTGACGGGCAAGTCTCCGGGTCGGCGCTTTCGATGACCGAGTGCCACCTCACATGGCTCATCATGATCATAAACAGCCAGCGACATAACCTAGAGCGGAACGTCGACAACGGACGACTGGCGGCGGTGCTCCGGCCGCTCCTCCTGTCCGTGCTGAAGGAACTGCAGCAAAGGAAAAACTTGATGGCCCAGCTCTTCAGCGAGAACGTGTATTTTGCCGAATTCCTCATCGGCGTCGGAAGCGACAACTAGATATCGGAAGTGACCACTGGAAGTGACCACTGGAAGTGACCGCTGGAGTGTTTTTCTTCGTTGCAACCAACAGCCGTTACACCATCAAATGTTGTAGGCCATTATAACATCAAATGTTGTAGGCCATCATAACATCAAGTGTTGTAGGCCATTAGAGGCAAACCAGTAAAGGTAAGTCATCAGAGCATTAATTCTTGTAGTATGTTGCCCCAGCCTCCCTGTTCCGCCGAGATTGGGGTCACCAGCTTGCCGGCACGTACGGCATCTTCCTCTCCAGAACACATGGCGATTGAGTGCGGAACGCCTTCAAGCATGGTGATGTCGTTGTGGCCGTCGCCTAGTGCCACGACGTCGCGAGAAACGTCCCAGCCTAGGTGCGCGGCTAGCAGCTTGATTGCCTCCATCTTGTCGCAGCCTTTAGGCTTGATGTGGATGGTGTCCCATTCCGGAAACAATGTGACCAATCCGATCCGACCCAGTTGCCTTTCCACTTCGTCCGACGCGTCTAGTAAGGCCTTGGATTGAAGCATCACACTAAAGCACTCTGTCAGCAAATATTGCTTCGTAAACGTCTTACCCGAACCCGTGCGCAAACTCCCGGGACGGTCGGATGTCTCTGCGAACACAACCTCCTCTGCCGCTGCCGTCTCCAAGTCCGCGCCCGCACTCACTCTGTGTAACCCCAGGTCGTCAACCCTGACTCCGAAGTCGCCTTCAGTGGTCGTCAAACCATCGGGAGACGTGTCCCCTTTCGCGTCCCCCTTCGGATTGTCCTCTTCCGCGTCCTCTACATCTGATGGCGGCCGGACTGCATCTAGCACCGTGTCCTGTACATCTGAACTTGCCATCTGTGTGTCCGTAGTAGGATTGTCCATGGACGGATACAATCCGCGGATCCTGACTTTGTTTATCACGTCTTCGTCAAGGTGCTCCAAAGTACCGCCAATGGAATCCAAGTAGTGCAACGGGTCTGCATTGTAGATGAGCTGTCCTTCCAAGTAGCACTGGACGACAATACACTCTGGGTCCAACGAAACGGCTACTTGTAACACCCGTTCGAGATGCTCCTGTGACATTCTCTCGTACTTCAACACTTCTTTTTCATTGCGTCCTAAGACTACAGCTCCGTCCGCAAAAATACCCGGATAGCAAGAGGTCAGCGGATCGATTCCGTACCGGCGACACCCTCTGATAACCGCTTCCAGGGACCTTCCAGTGGCAAATACCACTGGAATATTTCGCTCCTTCAAAGCAGCTAGACATTTCTTGTTTGCCAGTGGCACGAACTTCCCAGGGATCCACAGCGTGCTGTCCAAATCTGTCACCACCACTTTCACACCGATTTTGCCATCTATCCTCCAGGAGGCCATATCCCTGCCTAATGTCTCCCAAAATTTCGTTGAAGTATGTGGTTCCGCGTTCGAGCCATCGTGTACGGCAGATGGAACCTCTATTAACGCCTTCCTTCCAGCGACTAGAGCCTGTGCCGCCCGCGACCTCCTAATGGTGTCGGACACGGGCACTGTTACAGACGCTGTCGTCGACCCATTACTCGCAGTTGACCCTTTCGTGCCTGTCGTTGGCAACTTTATCGTGGACAGCTTTGTCGTTGGCAGCTTAGTCGTGGACAACGAAAGTAAAGATTGATCCTCTTCGGCCACCGTCGTTTCTTCTCCCCGTGCTGTGTTGTCAGCCATGGTGGTTCGTTTCTTTTCTATATTAAATGCTGCCAACCAAGGCCAGTCTAGTGTGGCTATGCGCTGCAGCCCAAGACGCAATGCTAAACTTTCTGGACTGTGATCTATGCAAATGCTCCGACAGATTTTGGCCCAATTGTACCATGCATTGTCAAGGCCTGGATATTAATGCACCAGTTTCTCTAGACGCACTCGACAAGGTTCTAAATGAAATTGGTGAAGAATGCCAAGTGTGGGCCGATGTAAGTAACCCCTTTTCACGGGGATCAACTCACAATTCTTTCCCCACACTCGGAGCCAGATTGCTCTATGCCCGATGTTGGGTGGTATTGATATGATGGTCTTTATAGATAACTCTACCGCAAACCCTCAAAGCTGAAGAGTGGTGCATGTCAGAAAACGATGAAAGACCTGGTTACATTTTGAGCACGCCTCCGTCATCAACTGATGGCTACAACGTTGTCAGAGGGAGAATGAAACAAGAATATGTCATTTTCAAGGGCGGTGATTTGGAATGTTCCAAATCTCAGGTCGATAGCTACGCAACTTTCCATACTGACATCTCTCCATCACCCAATTATTGCCCGATGGCGGATCTTCCGGCAAACCTTACTCTCCAGACCCTTCAAATTGATAAAGGATCTGTCATCATACCATTAACCAACGTTGGAACCCCCGTAGAGAGAATGAACACGACGGAGTATGGATTCTACGATTCTGAGGTTGATCTGGACTCCTTCCAGCCAGTAACTCTGAGATACTTCCGAAATGGTCGGGGCGAGGGCTCCTGCTATGGCGATCCAGACTCTATTGTATTCGTCAGGGAATTTGACGGATTTTTCAATGGCCGGCGATACAGCAGTTTCCGCTTCCATGAGAATCCCGGCGTTTTGAAGAAGGCCGTTAAACACGCACCGCAGATGTGGACTGGACGTGTTGGGCAAAGACCCATGAACAACGCCATCTGGGATAATGAAGACTTCAGATATGCGCCAGGCTTTGATCACATGGCCTGGTAGTCGATCATGTATTTTTGGGAACCGCACTAAGCCACCAGTACACCAGCCTTCGTCCTAGTGTCGTTGCAGCCAACAACATATTTTTCTGGGAACTTTATTCATGTCGCACACGTGTTCGATAGGTTTGCTGCGCGCGCAAACAAGCACATGAGACTCCTTCACCTGCTTCTTTTTGGCTCTCTTGTGCTCACAGCGCCAGAGGAGGAGCCGGAGACTAAATCTACCGAAGTAGTGAACGAGGAAGAGGAAGAGGAAGAGGAAGATGAGACTGATATTGAGGAGGAGCAAAATAGCGGACCCCATATTACAGTGACGCCGATCAACGGCAACCCTCTTGATATCTTGGTGCAAAAGTGCGATGCTTGGGAATTCCCTGATGATACCTTTAAAGCTCAAAGTGATGTTACAAAGATATATATCGACGTCGCCAAAACTGCTGATGGGCCGTTTAAAGCGAACAATATCACAAAATTTATCAGTGTTGGAGGCATCCATATTGTCGGCCAAGACTCCGTCCCTGACGAAAAGGTTCGCCACGTCGGTCATACCTTGGCGAAAGTTTTGGACCACGACAAGGACGGCAAATTCGATAATCCCGAGTTGGTCAAGGAGCTGCTCAAATTCCATCCAACTCTTTTCATCATGGCAGACGCAGATTCCATTATGGACCTGATGAATGCCCAGGAAGCCGAGACAGGGTTCCCCATGGAACTGAAATTTTGTCCTTTTGCTTTTGATTTCGAGGAGGCAGCGAAAATTGTACCGGGTGGCAAGAAGGGCGATGCCACTTGCGAACTGGAAGGGAACGAAAATAAAATAGATAGATCTATTCCATTTGTGCTGGATCACTTGGTGGGTCGCGGATTCGGAAAGGCGTTTACACCGGCACAGAAGAAAGAGTTAGATAAGATTTATCAGAGCAGCGTGGAGGCAGGTACATTTGACCCTGACAGCACCGGTTGCCCGCCTGATTCAGATGAGTGTGGTGAGGTGATGTTTGCAAGTTGGGCACTTAGCAGTCTCAACGGATTTGACAAGTGTTGGTGTGAGCAGATGGAGGCTCTGAAGTTTTGTGACCCGGAAAGCTTGAGGAATGGAGAGCCCGAGCTGGTTAAGGTTTTGGAGGAAGCCTTCGGTGGTTTGGCGGAGCTGCCTGAAGGCGATTACAAGCCGAAGAACAAGAACATCATCGGAAAGAGCGTTGTAGAATGAGTATTTTTCCTAATTCGTGGAACGTCGATTCGTCTCAAAAGTGTACCGGAATTAAGATTCGCGGCAAGTGATTGGAGTTAGCTGGCAGGTTCTCCGATTGTGCCGACAATAACTGGCGGTAAGAAGTTCTTGAATGTTCCAGCGAGGTTCTGTTCTCCTTGACGCACGACGTCGGCGGCGTTAACGATAATATTCCTGGCGTCCTGCTTGAGAGTGCGGTAGCCGATGGTTTCGGCGGCGCTGCCCACCAGAGTTTTCCCGGTGCCCAGAATCACCTTGGCGTCGGAGGCCAGGGACTGGTACAGTGGCAGAGCGGCGTTTTCGACGACCCTACGAGCGTCGTTCTGGAGGAGTCGGTTGCCGTTGATGGCTGTGCCAATGAGGCCTCGGCCTGTGTCTGCTACAGTGCCGACGACTTGAGCTAGCATGGGCGTGTCTGCTTCAGTTCCGCGGATGGCCTGGACCAGAGTCTTGAGCGGCGTACTGACGACTTCTTCGTCGTGCAGCTGTCTGGGTTCTTCCGCCAGCAGCTTTCTTCTTTCGGTCGGCGCCGCACCCTTTTCGGCCGCCTGAGGTTGACGCTTGCTCTTCCGCAACGCGCTCGACGGAGTGGCTTCGGCCAGCTTGCTATGGCCTTCAGTCTTGCGGCTGTCACGTTTGGCAGAGGCTAGCAGGCCAACCAGGAAGAATGAGAAGGCGCGCATTCCAAAAAGTGTGTGTGTACCGCTCAATCCAAACACTTCAGGCCTTTGGAAAGCACTCCAATCGCACCCAGGTAGCCGTCATGTCGTAGAAAGCACGCCTACGGGTGTACTGGGGTTAAGAAAGGGTTGCCGTGTATTGTTGTGGCAGACTATTGTGCCGACGGCGATGAGGAGTTGCCTGGTCTGCGTTCTGTCGATAGTTACTTACTTTGATGAAGGGTTTGCCCTGTTCTTCGCTGTCCTTCTGAAACCGTCGTACCTGGTGCACGAAGGAAGTGGAGGACGTCATTTCGTCATCCGCTTCGTAAAGTTGCGAGAACAGCATGCCTTCCGTAATCGTGGCCATGGTAATGTCATGGTCGCTGACGTATTTGCCGCCGTAAATGACTCTGGAACCACAGGTGTGGCCTTTGATGCAAATTGCGCCGCCGGTTGCAGCGGTGTAGCCAGTGGTGTGGCCCAGTGGTATAGCGAGGGGTCAAGTCAGTGATACAGCCAGTCAGTGATACAGCTCAGTCACATGCAGGGTGTGTTTTACGTTTGGCATCCGTGAAGTTTGGCCAGGAGGTAGCCGAGATAGCCGAGGTTGTAGGAGACCATTCGTATGGCGGAGAAGGCGAAGTCTTCTTTGGAGACGGGTACGGTGTTGTTGTGTAGTCTGCCGAAGCTGGCGGATAGTAGGTCGGGCGGTAGTCGGGTGCTGCCTGCGCTGTCGCCTACGAGGTCAATGACGGTGAGGTCTAGGGAGGACTTGCCATTCCGAGAGAGTTCTACGACCTCTTCGAAGCTGGTGGTACCGAAGTACAGTTTACATAGCCCTAGCGCTGTACCTCCGCCAATACAAGTGCCGGATATTCTGGAGTAATCATCGGCTCCGTTAACTTTGAGGATGCTGACACCGCTGCCGATGTTTACGACCAGCAAAGGGTACTGGAAATGTTCCGGTAGTCTGCCCCCGGTGCTCAGGTCGAATTGGTACAAGGGTGTGTCAGCCTTTTCTAGGGTTTCGATTAGTCCACACACCACGGAAGACATTTCGTCACACTTTACGATTTTCACACCTAACTGCTGACTCAGCTGGTCATGGAACTTGTACGCACCTCCACCCGAGACATGAATATGTGCCTGTCCTTTCAACCTGGGCTTTATAAACTCGATCAGTTCCAGTATCCGACATGTTTCGAAATAGATGAAATGAATCTCAGTATCTCCGTCTGTAACACAAACCATTGTTCCCAGAGACGACAACCATGTCCCACCATTGCCACCATGATGACGACCACCATTGCCATCATAGACGACCACCATGATGACCACTACCATGATGAGAGAAATTACATTTGATCGGGGGTGCGCTTCCGAATGAGTTGTTATTTTCCGCAGTCCTGTTACTCACATACGCCACTTTAGCTAAAGTGCCGCCAATATCTATCCCTATCATTCACTGTCAGAAAAAAAAACCGAGTGGGTACCGGTATCTATGGAACCCGCTCCTTTCCAGGAGGCTCTTTTCTTCTTGTTTTTAGCCGCTCGGAAATCTTTCCCTTTTACTTTTCCCAAGTCCTCAGCAGCCCGGCTGGCAAACCCGTCTCCACCCTTGGCTTCGTAGCTGTTGTCTTTGACTTTGGATTTCTTCAACCACTCGTTAGTATTTAACCGCTTCATCGGCGCAGGCTTCAGGACCTGAGACGAACCCTCAAGCGAAGCCGGATCCAACTTGGCCAGTTTTGCCAGGGACTCTTCTAACACCACATCCTTGCGATTCCTCTTGCTTGCGCCCAATTCCGCTGCGCCCAATTCCGCTGCGCCCAATTCCGCTGCGGCCAATTCCGCTGACCTATCCAACTCCTTCACCAAAGCAGCGAACAACGGATCGAGTTTGAACTCAGGTTCTACTCCATCGATATCCTACACAACAAAGTGACCATCAAAAGAAGTGCAGGAAAACAAAGTCACCAAACCGCCCATACCCAACGGTCAAACATCACGGTTGTAAACAACTACGGCTGCAACACGAAGCGGGCGGGCAGTCGTGTGTGCCTATTGTCAAGTGCCGCACTTGTGGGGTTGTCTTACTTGGTTGGCTTTTCTGATATATTTGGCGGCCTTGCCCGCCCAGGGCTGTGCCTTGAGATATTTGTAGAGGGCAGCCTTGAGAAGCGCCTGGCCATCATAACGGGCGCCTACAGTGTCAGTATTGGTTGTTGGACAGGGTCTCTTTTTGCTGCCCATTCGATTCGGATTATAATTCCGTCGGCTGGGGTGGCTTAGATCGATCTACCATTTTGTTTTGAAGTATAAAAAAATGGGGGCCTGTGCCTCTCGAGACGGACAACTAGTGCAGAACGCTTCGCGGACGATCGCGGAGCTACCTCGTCCAGCAGCCGACCAGCCGATGGAGTCGAAAGACATTTGGTTTGATGAAGAGGAACCCAGCACCCAACCTAGTCCTACTGCACCTACACCAACACCGAATGGAAATCGTAGGAGGAGAAGACTCTCCGTCAGCACCGTAGATCAACCCTCTGAGAAAAAAAGAACTGCTACTGTCAAATATGAAGACCCTGTGCGGGAACTAATTGATAAGAACCGACGGGGTCTGCGAGAAGTCACTCTCCAAATGCTCAAGGAACTATTCCCCGCTGCAGAGCACTACGCCGTCTTCGGAAGCCCCAGCTACTCCGTACAACGAGGATTCGATGTAAGCGACTATGGGTGGCGGATACCACACACGATCGCACACGACTGAATGTGCATCGTCCGTTTGCGGTCGCCATCCACCACACACGGGCTACACAGCGGCCCCACGGGCTACACAGCGGCCCCACGGGCTACACAGCGGCCCCACGGGCTACACAGCGGCCCCACGGGTTACAGAGCGGCCCCACGGGCGCTTCCTGGGCGACAGAATGTGTTGTTAGAATAAGGTGACGGAGATCGACGGAGGAATGCCGCCGGGCAGGACGTTGAAGGATATCGGCGTTGGGTATGCGTGTAAAAAGGGACTGAAGCCGGAGAGTCCTAATCAGGATGACTACTATGTGTTGAAGTAATTTCCACAACACAGCTTGTACGGGCTGAGGGTTGATTGGACGGCAATGGTTGGTTGGGTGCAGTGGTGAGACGTGTCTTGTTGTAGAGTAGATGACTGGTCTATGTATGGGGTGTTTGACGGGCATGGTCCGCATGGGCACCATATCTCGGCGTTTGTGCACAAGACGTTGCCGTTTCTAATAATTTCGGACCCGGAGTTCGAGAGCGATTTGGAGGCGACGTTGATCCGCGCTTTTAAAAAGGTGCACCAGTTGGTAGTGGCGGTGTCGGACTTGCAGGGTATGTTCGATTGTTCGTTGTCGGGTACGACGGCAACAGTGGCGGTGCAGCGGGACGGCAAGTTGACGGTGGCGCATGTAGGGGATTCGACAGCAGTGTTGGCGAAACACGCGCGTGCGGACACACATGGTAGGCATACACCGTCGGACGGGAGGCCGACGGACGCGGACTTCCGAACAGACTTCCGGGCGGAAAAGCTGACGAACGACCACAAGCCGATGTTACCGGCTGAGAAGGCGAGGATCGAGGCGAAGGGCGGGGAGGTACGGCGCTTAGAAGGCGATATTCCGCACCGTGTGTTCGTCAAACACCGCATGTACCCGGGACTGGCCATGTCGCGTGCTCTCGGGGACAGTGTGGCTGCCAGTGTAGGCGTCTCCCACGAGCCCGAGGTTCGAACTTATGACCTCTCGACCCAAGACTTCTTCGTCATCGCCACAGACGGTGTCTGGGAATTCATCGATGGCCAACAAGCCGTCGACATCATCGCAGCTTTCCCCTCTAACAAAGTCGACGAAGCCGCTGAGGCGCTCGCCTATGAGTCGTGGAAACGGTGGGTAGAAGAAGAAGATAACGTTGTTGACGACGTCACCTGCATCGTCGTCTGGACCTAAACGTAACTTGACGTCGGACGCCCCCAGTTGGATACCATGTAGTTGGTCGTTTAAGATCAACTCGATGAAGACCAAGCAAGCGGTTGGATACCAAGCAGTTGGATACCAAGCTTCGAGGCTATCTGATGCAACCCAGCTATCTGACAGCTTCCTGGTTGGTGAGCTGACCTCATTTGGTTA